AAGAAATATTTAAATGTTATAATATAAAAACTATTATTATTTATTCTAAAATTTTACCTTTAACCTTTTTAATTAATACCTCTAGACTAGATACTCATTAGTGGGTACAAAGTTTATCCACCAGACACAGAAATTGCAATGTTTTGTTTGAAATTAGTTGTATGTTTTAGAGTTTAGTTTAAGATGGACAATCATGGGGAGTGGGTAGATGAAGGGACAATGATAGTTGCCCACGCGTGAAAGGTTGATCAAGAAAAAGGAAATGTAACATAAAAAAAAGAAAAGTTTTTCCTTACGTGAATATATGGAAATGTTAAAGGTCCTGTTACGGAATCATCATATTGAAGCTTATGACCATTGGATCATCACATAACACGTCGAGAATAGCTAATTCAACGGTTACAAACAACAACGGAATAGTTCGGTGCATCTCCCGAACATATATATATATCAACTTCAATGGGGTCACCGACCATCTCTCCTGAGACGACTGCGCCATTCTCTCTCCTCCACAAGAAAAAACACACACAGATTGGGATAGAAAATTATATGTGAGACTGATTGGTAAGGAATCGAGATTCGAATCGACGTGCGAGAGGAAAAAAAGGGAGAGAGAGAGAGAGAGAGAGAGAGGCTTGCTCCCTTTTTTTAGTGTGTGTGTGTGTGTGTTTTGTGTGAGTTAAATTATATGGGTGGAGGGGCGTTCATGGATGGAGTTCGTCGTTGGTTCCATCGTGGCCCAACATCTGTCGCTCATAACTCTTCTTCTTCTTTAGCTTCTTCCAGATTTAGTAATGACAATGAGGCACACTCGGATTCTGTTACTCAGAGGGAAAAACAAGGACAAGAAGAGGGTTGTTTGATGATCGTTGAGGACTTAGATATCTCGGGCCTCAAGTTAATTAAAGTCCCTAAGCGGGTTTATTTCCCTGTTCCGCTTTCATCAATGGATTCTCAGAAAAAGGTTGCCTTTTTTTTGAAGTCTTTGGTTTTTAGGGCCTTCTTTTTTTTTTCTGTTTTATATCCAACCTTTTGACTTTGGTTTCTCTTCTTATGATAAGGGTTTGTGTAGATCTGTGTTTGATTTTTGAAATCTGTATGGATTTTGGATGATGATCTTGCATTGTTATCATTTTCATGACAGAATTCTGGGGTGTTATAGTTGGGATTGTGGTTTGCATAATATGATCTTGAATGTTATTTTTTGTATACATTTACAGATTGTGTACCGTTGTGAATCGATCTGGGTGTTTCAGATGTTGGTAATGTTTTGAAGTATAAAAAGGAAAGAAGACGGATAGATTTCTATCTCTTTTGTTAGTGAACTGTTAGCAACACTGGACAACAGATTTTATAAGACAGTTGGAGAATTGCTCTGTTGAAAATTCTTGTAGATTGTGCTAAGATGTTCAAAACTTGTTGAAAATTCTAGTAGATTGTGCTAAGATGTTCAAAACTGGTGGTTGTCTACTTAAAAGCTGCTGCACTTTTTAATGGCACAAACCGGGGAATGCCTTCTTGGTTTTGCATCCAAGGAACTATCCGGCGGCTAAAATAAATCAAATTATCGTTTCATGTTGTAATTTTCTTGCCTGGGGAAATGTCTTTGGAAAAACAGATCTTTTGCCTGGGGAAATGTCTTTGGAAAAAACAGATCTTTATGTGTTATTATTTTAATCTCTATTTGTTAAAATAAGAGATGAAAAAAAGTTGCTGTGGGGCTTCAATAGGAGCAAGCTGATGTCACTAACCAAGTGTCTTTGTTACAGAATAATCTGGAAACTGAGTTCTTCACCGAGTATGGGGAGGCAAGTAGGTATGAGGTTCAAGAAGTTGTTGGAAAAGGCAGTTACGGTGTTGTGGGTTCTGCAGTAGATACCCACACTGGAGAAAGAGTCGCCATAAAGAAGATCAATGATGTGTTCGAGCATGTTTCTGATGCCACACGGATTCTTAGGGAAATCAAGCTCCTTCGGCTGCTTCGCCATCCGGATATTGTCGAGATCAAGCATATAATGCTCCCACCTTCGAGGAGAGAATTTAGGGATATCTATGTTGTATTTGAATTGATGGAATCTGATCTTCACCAAGTAATCAAGGCAAATGATGACCTAACACCAGAGCATTATCAATTTTTCTTGTATCAGCTTTTGCGCGGATTAAAGTATATTCATACAGGTTTCTTTTCCCCCTTCTTTTCTTCTTCGTCCTTTCCCTCCTTGAGATAGATCTTGTAGTATAGAAACCATTATCCTGTTTTTGACCTTAGGAGAAGAAATTCATTTATATCATTGACATGCATGTTATTTTTCTGTTCAGCAAATGTGTTTCACAGAGATTTGAAGCCAAAGAATATACTTGCTAATGCCGACTGCAAGTTGAAGATTTGTGATTTTGGTCTGGCACGTGTGTCGTTCAATGATGCCCCATCTGCAATATTCTGGACTGTAAGCTTTCATCATGATGGAAATGTTTTGTTCATAGTTATATTTTGGTATGTGGATCTCAGTTTCGTAACCTTTTGATTTTGGTTTCCATTTGCTAAAGGATTATGTTGCAACTCGGTGGTACCGCGCTCCTGAGCTGTGCGGTTCCTTTTTCTCTAAAGTAAGCTCGACATATCTGCTAAGAACTTAGCACATTGTATTTTCTTTGTAAAACAACCCGACGGTATATAATATCTTTGCTAGTAGGACTTGCATGCCTTTATAGTTTTCTTAATTAATGCTTATTTCATTACTATGCCGACTTGTTTTCGACTTTCTCACCTCTTTTAAAATTGTGTATGTGGATGCAGAACATAAGTCAGTAGACATTAGTCTGTCAAAGAGAGTGTAAAATTCTCTTTGTTGTCTTTTACTCAACTGTTTAAGGTTGACCACCTGTCTAATCCCCAAAGAATAGAATTTCTCTTACTAATTTCTGTTTCCTTATCATGGAGATCACTAATCCGTCCTGAACCTGCTATGTCGATTATGGTTGCTTTTACATCATATGGCATTTATAGTGCATTAAGATCTTAGGTCTCTATTTATACAGGTAGGCTCGATATAGAAATGGGTAGAGTTTTAATAAAGTGAATGTGCTTACTTCTGAAATGCAGTGACATGCATAATCGAAAGCACCTAATATATTGTATCATTTTTCAATAGACTTCTAAGTTATGCTAATTGCTAAACTTTTTGGAGTTTGGTAAATACTTTCAATAGAAACGGAATTTATTTTCTGTCCGCGTGTGAACTGCCTGAACAAGGGGAGAGATTATCTGTTAAAAAAATTAGGGAGCATGTACGCGTAACTCAAAGATCTTAACTCTCTATTTATCCGGGCTGGCTTGCTAAATAGGTAGATTTTTAATATAGTGAATGTGCTTACTTCTGAAATGTCGGTTCCGCAAAATCGAAAGCAATGAATATATTATATCATTTTTCTATAGACTTTTAAGTTATGGTAGTTGCTAAGAGTATTTTGGTTATATATATTTGAAGAAACGAGCATGTACAGAAACTGTGCATCTACAATCATTAATGAAGTGCTCCTAATTTTCTTGTTTGCAGTACACTCCTGCCATTGATATTTGGAGCATCGGGTGCATATTCGCTGAGATGCTCTCAGGCAAGCCATTGTTCCCTGGGAAAAATGTGGTCCACCAGTTAGATCTAATGACGGATTTGCTCGGCACACCTCCTCCTGAAGCTATCGCAAGGGTTAGTTAGTAAACCTAGGTTCCTATTTTTTTTTTATTAGATTAAAACATTTTACTGAAGGAAGAAGCTCTGTGTTTCATGTGCTCCAATGTAAGTGAATAAAGATAAACTCTTGTTGTATAGCCATTATAACAGATTTATGTACGGGTCATAATGGCAGATCAGAAATGAAAAGGCAAGAAGATACCTCAGCAGCATGCGCAAGAAACCTCCTATCCCATTTACCCAGAAATTTCCAAATGTCGATCCTTTGGCTTTACGCTTATTGGAGAAGCTACTCGCTTTTGATCCAAAAGATAGACCGACTGCTGAAGAAGTAATTTACAATGTCCAGTAGTTTTAATAACCGTTCTTAATTTGATGTTTAGTAAGAATAAATAAGGATGGTTTTGTTTGCAGGCACTGGCTGATCCTTACTTTCACGGGCTAGCAAATGTGGACCGCGAGCCGTCCACTCAGCCCATCTCAAAACTTGAGTTTGAGTTTGAGAGGAGAAAGCTAATGAAAGATGATGTTAGGGAGCTTATTTATAGGGAGGTAAAGCGTAACATCTTTGGAATGCATGTTTTCTTTTTTTCTTTTTTTTGGTAATCTTTCTTAGTGTGGTCACTTTATCTCAATCAAACAGATTCTAGAGTATCATCCTCAGATGCTTCAGGAGTATCTTCGTGGTGGAGATCAGACTAGTGGCTTTATGTACCCAAGGTTAGGGCAGTTGTACATGTCAGAATTGATTTACTACTATAAATTTTCAATTTATATCTCCACAAGCGCTTGTTGGTTTGGTTATATTTGGTATGTGTCGAATGCAGGAAAACATTAAAATTCTCCTCGTGAGGTTTTAGTGTTGAGTTTCAAATCCCTACTTGTCATTTAGTACCTAGTACTCATCATCATCGTCATCATCATCATCATCATCATTGTCATTATCATCATCATCATCATCATCATTGTTATTATATTGTCAGGCATTTTTTTTTACATAGGCTATGTTGATGACGTGAATTGTTTTTGTTGATAAATATTTGGGAAGAAGAATATTGCTCCTCCTACTTCTGAGCATTGAGATTCTTGATACACTTCGTTTATGAATTTAATGTATTTTAGTGGAGTTGATCGGTTCAAGCGGCAGTTTGCCCATTTAGAAGAACACTATGGCAAAGGTGAGAGAGGCACTCCTCCTCTACAAAGGCAGCATGCCTCATTGCCTAGGTATGTGATTTTATTTATATCAATTATGTTTTGCCTGATAAATTTCATAAATTGGTCGCTGAGGTCACTTTGCAAATTAGTTGCTTGTCACAATAATGTTATTATTGGCAAAACTTAATTTATATCCAATTTTGTGTACTGTGCTTGCAGAGAGCGGGTCCCAGCTCCCAAAGATGAAGTTAAGGATAACGAGTTTGAAAAGCGAACATCGGCTTCGGTTGCAACAACTCTTGAGAGCCCCCCACGGGACATTGAAGGTTCGGATAACGCAAATGCAAATGGACAGCACAAGGGAAACTACAGTGCTCGTAGCCTGCTAAAGAGTGCAAGCATCAGCGCTTCTAAGTGTATAGGTGTCAAAGAGAAAAGAGACACCGAGGTAACTTTGGCTCATCGCCTTTACAGAAGTGTTGAAATTTGATTCGAAGAAGATATTTTCTCATGCATTTGTTTACTTTGTAGGAATTAAACACGTTGCTTAAAATGATATTATAAGGAGCATAAAAATGATACAATTTTATGAAGCGTTTTGAATCACTTTCACATCATATGAACATTTTATTTTCTTGGTTTTACAGCAAGACCCGATAGAAGAGCATAATGAAGATATTGATGGGTTGACAGAGAAAGTAGCGGTGCTCCACGCTTGATCTCTATAGTCCATTCTTTAACCTTTTTGGGTCGTTTTTCACTGCCATTGTGCCCTTAGATCGGACTTAGATGGCAGCCATTTTGTAGTATCTCGAAAAACTGGGTAGAAGAATACTGATGTTCATGTAATTTCGAACGGCTTTTCATGCGAGTTGTGCAGTTGCTTTGGTCCATCTTTAACAGTTTAACTAATTGGATTTTCCAGATTGTCGATCTTTTCCTTCGAAGTTATTGTGTATTATTTATCAATGCACCGTGTTCGGTTGTATGAGAATTGAGATGATGTGTGTATGTATATTATGGCCCTTAATTCCATATGAAGCTTTTGCTGTGTCTGGTTGTGGATTCTCTCCATTTGCTGTGTTAGATTGTTCTTCAGAAATGGGAAATCGGTTTTTGCTAAAACAAATTTTTTGTTCTCTTGCATTTTTAGGCAGCAGAAACTTGAAATTATTCTCAACAATCTGTATCAGTATAATGAAACAATTCATTTTACTATCATTAGGATGTTATATACAATTTTAGAATGTGATGACGTTAGATGGCAGGCTTGCATGCTTCGTAAATTTATAAGAAAAACATGCTTCATCCTGGCACATGCACATGCACAAGTTTGGATATTACTATAGGAATATGCTACGGTCATGTTACGAAATCATTACGTCGGGGTTCGTAACCGTTAGATCAACTATCTCTGACGGTTACATGATGATTAGGGCTGTAAACGAGCCGAGTCGAGCTCGAGCTTAGGGTGTTCGAGCTCGAGCTCGAGCCATTAACGAGTTGAGTCGAGCTCGACTCGTTAAATAAACGAGCCTAAAATCGAGCTCGAGCTCGGCTCGTTAAGACCTCGAGCTCGAGCCTTAACGAGCCGATCTTGAGCTTTAACGAGCCGAACTATAAAAATTATATAAAAATTCTATTTTCGAGCCTTATCGAGCCGAGCCGAGCTCGGCTCGTTAGCCAAACGAGCTTTTAATGAGTTCGAGCTCGGCTCGTGAAGGCCCCGAACTCGAGCCTTAACGAGCCGAGCCGAGCCAGTCTCGTTTAATTTAACAACACTAATGATGATCCAACGGTTACAAACCCCGACGGAATGGTTTCCGTAACGGACCTTAGCATTTCCCTTTACTATATATTGACTTGAATCAACTGCCATAAACTATTTTATGTTTCAGTTTTTTATATTATCATACATTGCATTTTATTTTCTTATTTAATTT